AAATTTTGAATATCCGAAAATTTAAATATCTAATTTTTCAGAGCAGATACATATTATGATTTTAATTATCCAAAATTTTGAATCGGATAATGTCTGGTATCCAAAAAATGTACACACAAACAAATTTTAGGGAACAAGTGATACATAAAGTTTCATATATTTAATCTAAAATTAAATTTAAATTAAAAAAACTCATTTTTAACCATTACTATTTAAAAAAATTATATATGAATGTAAATCACTATAAAAATATGGAAGTGTAAAAGAAATCGAGAAGTTTAGGAAATATTCATGTCCCTGTTGGGCCAGTGACAGTACGACCTTTGGGTGAGTTGGAAAGTTATTTTCGTGTCCATGTATTTTTGAGTTTGATTATTGGTACTGAAAAAATAAAATTGATATTGTTCATCAATCAATTAGAAATAAGAGTTTTTTTTAGGAAGATGAGTATCGATAATCATTCAAAGAGTATTGATACTGTAAGTGAGGTTTCGATACTAAATAGTATTGATACCGGGCACACTTAGTAGATTCCAATAAATCATTTCGATATCGATACTCATGAGAGTACCGATACTAAGGGTTGAGTACTAATACTCCCAATTGAAGTATTAATACTGATATATTTTTTAAAACATCGAATCCATTTTTGATTTGCCTTTTTTGAGTTAGATAGAGTCATAGTTAATAATTTGAAAAAAAAAGATAAAGATGATACTTCGAAAAAATGAAGAATTGAAAGAATTTAGATTCAGAGAGAAAAGAGAGAGTCCTCTTTTTACATTGCATGAGGGTTTATATGTCTTCTTTTAATATTGGCGAGAGTCTAAAAATGATGATGATTATTTATAATTTTGAGAGGATGTAAAGACATGATTATAATTTAATAAATTTAGTTGATGATAGAGTTAACATTGGTCAGATTAAAGGATTGTAGCGCTTCAAAGAACATAAAACTTAAAAATTTTAATAAATATATAATTGTTATCAGATACAATTTACTAAAAAGAATTTAAAAGAATACAACAAATATCTAGATTTACTCCTTAAAATTAAAACCCAAACTTGAAAGAGTTCCCAATAACACTGGATAGAGCTAGAAGTGGAGCTACTTATAACCTGTCTTTTTTATAAAAAAAAGAAAGAAAGAAAGATGATAGTTGATCTCACATGGCTGACATAACAATTCCCAAAAATGCTCCATCATCAGACTGCATTAACCTGTTTTTTCCAGAATGCAATTTGTTGCCCATATCTCATCTTCCCTTTCTTATGTTTGTTTTAAAGCATCGGCAGACATCAGCAACCTACAATGCCAACTCAGAAAGCTTGAAATCTAGTCTTCATCTTTTCTTTAAATCTCATTTTTTACAACCCTATGCTCTACCTTTAACCTTTTTGATGCTCGATAGCAATAGCATGCATACAAAAAAGTTAGATTCAACCACCATATCTATCCCCCTTTAGATACCATTTCCCAAATCCAAAGGTTCATCAATCATCACCAAAAAAACAATCTCTTCCTTGACCATAGAAGCTTAAAGAGAAAATATTTCATTCTTCAAAAAGAAAAACAAAATATGAAGAACCAGATACTTGAACCATGCAAGTCATTGGAGTTCCCATTAACAAGGCTGATACTTTCGTACATGGAGTCCGATAACATGGTATGATACACTATAAAGACTGTATGTATGAATAAGAAAACTGAAGTTACCTTTTGCAGTGACAGATCAATCAAAATCCCATCTCCTGATGGAGAATTCCCCAGACTCCATTACAAGGTTTTGCTTCCACTTGAGAAAACAAAGGGAGTTAATGAGAGCGAAAACGTGAAGAAACCATCACAGAAGTACATGGAGATTGTGACCGTAGATGATTTCGAGTTCTGCTTTATGGGGTTCTTAAATTACCAGAAAGCTTTCAAACGCCTTCAGCAAGCAATCTCCCAAAGATTCCTATATGATGTACTGCAAGTCACTTTCTGGGTGACTTACAAATGTGTTATCTTCTTGTTCATCAGATTGTTTTTGTTGATGAAATGTGGAGAAGACAGTCGGTTTTACAAATAAAAAAATGATTTTCATTATTTTGAACTCCATGGGCGAAGAGTACATTAGTTGTTAGGAATTAGGATTACATTAGTTAAGATTACGGATTACCTACTACTTCACTCATTTTCTTTGTATAAATTCTTGGCTAATGGCCACATCAAATATGTGAAATACATTTCTCACTAATTTCTGTACATCAGGAGTCACCCAAAGCCAACTGACTACACCATCTCTTTCTCAAACCTCTCATTTTCTATTACCAAAATTTATATGGATGCTTTTAACGTTGGTATGTTTCTCGGAATTAGCTCACCTCTCAATTTTACCTTTCAGATATTACTCGATTATAGGCTTTGAACTTAACATCCGGAGGATCAATTGTTCTCGCTCTTGTACTTTTTTATATCTCTTATTTATTTTCATGACATGGTATTGTACTATTAATCATGTATTTACGTGTTATTTCAAATACATATGATATAACTAATATTTTATGTACATGATATTTATATTTTTTAATAATATAAATCTATATTATATATTTTACTTCGAAGATTTTGGATATTGTTTTATTTTATTGATAAATAAATATTTCTTGATTAATTTATGTATACAAATCATGTATATATATATTTCTAAAGTATTTATAGGATAAGTATGTGATTGACGAGATTTAATCATAATTTCTATGTTAGGAAGTTACATATATAACGTCCCAAATTTCGGGTTAATAACTTTAGGTTAAACTGTGAAGAGCTAGAGTGGCCCGTTAACCTTATAGGAAAGCTTGACCTCAAGTAGTGTAAGTTTGGCTTGGGCTGAGCTTAAGTTGTCGTAAAAAGGACACCTTTTTAATGAGACTTAGGGGATTCATTTTTTTTGACTCGGTTTTTCTTAAGGTTATTGTCTATACTATAACTCAGGACATTAATCTTGGTTAATATATTTCGTCGACACTCTTTTCCCCTTGTAGGTCTTAGAAGGGGCTTTTAGTCAGGATGTTTTCTTCAAAAAAAAAAAAAAAAACTAAGGGGACCGAAGCAACAATTTGCTCATCAACTTTCTCAAAAGCTTTCCCTTAATAAGGGATTATGTTAACGTGGAATAGCTTGATATCTCTTGTCAACGTGGAATAGCTTGATATCTCTTTCTCTTCACCCTTGTCTTCTTCCTCGTTCAAAAAAACTCTCCTTTATCTTCTATTGTATCTTAAGAAAAGTAACAGCATGGTTATCTAGCAAGTTTGGTCTAAGATTCTAAAGGTAAGAATAATAACTTTCTCTTCTCAAGCTTCATTTTAAGTCCTCCTTTGCAAGATTTGGCTATAGTGTCCAAATATGGATTTTAGTGGGGGTTTAGGAACCTAAGCATAATCATCTCATTTTTGAGAGATTTAAGCCCAAAAAAAATGTTCTAAACTTTTTTCTAAGCTTCCCAACAACATTAGTAATCCTTATGATTGATTTTTGTCTAGTGAGAGAAGTTGGAGAAAGCTTCAAGGTTAAGGGAAATGAAAAACTAGCACTTGGTTAAATTTTTGATGTTTCCAGTAGTTTAGAAATTCAAGATAACTCACTTCTAATTCAAATCTACCACATGTAGGACATTAGATGTATTTTGATAGGTTGCATAAGTTATGAAGCAAGTTCATGGTAGATTCGGCATTTGACATTTTTCAGCTTGTTTATTGACCTATTATGACCCCTCTAAATGTACATAAAACTTTAAACATGTTTAGGAACCTTAGTAGGACCTTTGGGTGAGTTAGAGAGTCATTTTTGTGCCCAAACAAGGTATTTTTGGGTTCGAGTGTTGGTTTTGGAAGAACGATACTAATATTATTCATCAACTAGCTTAAAATAACAGTTTTTTAGGAATGCGAGTATCAATACTCATCCAAAAAGTATCAATACTGTGGTGGGGTTTCGATACTCACAAGGTAGTATCTATACCTGACACACTTAGCGGATTCCAGTAGGCCATTTTGGTATCTGTACTCATGGGAGTATTGGTACTTAGGGGCACAAAAACGAAATATTTGTCTCAAGTTTTTTTTAAAAAATTTGATTGGATTTTAAATTATTAGTCAATTGGAGACATCTATTTGAAATAATAATTTGAAAATTATGGAAACAATGTAATAATTTTGTTTCTAATACACAAGTTTGGTCATCAATGGAAATCATTCACTCGATTCAAGCTTGGACTCAAATTATTAAGATCAACCTTGGTGAAAACCATCGAAGCAGCCTTCAACAAAGCACAAGACAACGTTGGTGCCCCCAAAAGCTGGAACTATCAAGCTGAATACCAACGGTGTTGCAAACATGCAAACCAAGGATGCTACAGGGGGGGGGAATCCTCAGAGACAATATTGGTCTTTGATTAGCTGGGTTTTATCATAATAATGGCGGTGCTCAGCTTCTTAGGCCGAGTTATGGGCATTGATGGATGGTCTGGAGTAAGCATGGAACCGAGGCATCCGAGACCTGATAGTAGAGACTGACAATAAAGAAGCAGTGGATATCATAAACACTGGCCCGTACCTACACGAGATCTCAACTCTCAGGAGGATCCCAAGAACCTTTTTCCTTGTTCCTCGATTTCCCTAATTCAATAAAAGTTTTTAAAAAAAAAGAAAGAAAGAAAACAAAGACATAACAAAATTGAACAAAATAACAAGAAAAAAAAGAGATTTTCCTTCGGTCAAAAGTTTTATTTTATTGGTCAAATTTTTTAGGTTACAAATGCCTCCCCTCATTACAAATAAGAGTGCGTAGCTCCCAAAAACCCTAAAAGCAAAAAAAATTATCTTTTTTCATTAATGCTAAATACACTAATTAAAAAAATAAAAAATCTACCATAATAAAAAATCTTAAATTACCATAAATAAATAAAAGAAATTTAAAAGTTGAATTTAATTACAAATACTCAAATAGACATAAAATGGGGCATGTAAGCGGCACTGCGTCAACTCAATCGTCGGAAAAAGCTTCAGGAAAGGTAGATAAGATCCAAACTCTGTTTGTGCAGAACATTCCTCCTAGGTATCATTGGAGTGGACTGAGACAATTATTCGGTAGGCATGGAGATGTTGTCAGCTCTTACATAGCTAGGAAGAATGACAGATTGGGGAAGCGATTTGGTTTTGTTAGATTCTCAAAAAAAGAAGATACAGAGAGAGCGATGCAAAGACTCAATGGATTTTGGTTGTTCGGATATCGACTTTCAGTGAAGGAAGCAAGGTATAGAGCAAAAAATTCAAGCGGAGACTTGAATAGTCCTGCCAATTCCAATACAGTCATAAGGGTACCTAACGATAAAAGTATTGCGGAAGAAGTTTCTGAGACACTGACAAGAAGGAGGAGCAGGTCCATACAAGGAGTTATTGATGATGAGGTTGTTCGAAAGTTGCAGAAATGCCTCGTAGGTACTATGGCAACGGTATGTTCTTCGACTCAGGTGGTTGACAGATTACGTGTAGGGGGCTTGGGAGAGGTTAGGATTAAGTTTATGGGAGGAAGAGATTTCCTTTTAGAATTCGTGGACGAAGAGCTTTATACGTTTATGAAAGAGCATAATTGGTCATTCTTACGGGAAGTTTTCCTGGAAGTTAATCCTTGGACAGAATCATACAGAGCGTCTGAAAGGGTAACCTGGATCAAATTAATAGGTGTGCCATTACACTGTTGGAACCATAACACGTTCAAAAGGATTTCTGAGCTATGGGGGGAATGTTTGGCGATGGGAGAAAATGCTCTTCAGGAATCGGGTTGTGAGGAGATGACTATCTTGATAGCAACTAGAAGAAAGGAATTGATTGATGAGGTGGTTGATTTGGAGGCAGGAAGGGATGTTTTTAAAATAAGAGTTGTGGAACAGACTACTAGTAGAGGTGATACGTGCAGTCACAAGAAAAAAAGCAAAAGTCAATTTAGTCACCGATGATTCGAGTGCGTCGGCAGTAAGGAGTATGGAGTCAACGGAGGAGGAGAAGGCAGAGAGTTGGCATGAGGAAGATGATAGTTATTTAATGTGCATGGGGAACATTCCAAGAGGCGGCTGTATGTCAGGGAGGGAAGAAGTAGAGAGAAAAATAGGGGAGGATGCAATTGTGGGTCAGAGGGTCAATGATGTTTGTTTTGTGAAATCTCAAAAGCAATACGAGGTGGAGGAGGGAAATGAGGTGGAGGTGGCAGAAGATGATTGCAGATTACTAGTTAAGGTGGTGGACAATAATGAAGGTATTAATGAGAATCTAAAGGATTTGTCTATATGAGAAGGGGGTTAGGTGCAAAGGCGGTGGAGGTTTCGGAGTATTTGGGCCTTACAAATTCCTTTTCTAAGAAAGGATCCAATAAGGAACAATTGGACGGGTGCTTGGCAGACCCGAAGGTAAATAAGTCCAGTTTGAGACGGGAGGGGGAAGAATGGGAAAAGGGGCTCTGCTTGCAAATGAGCGATGATATTTTTATTCCCAAACCTAAGCAGAACTTTAGAGCAAAGGGGGGGAAAAATTAAGAAATACAGTTCTATCAAAAAAATTCAAGAAAAATATGGTGTTACTCAAGGAAAGATTAGAAACTGTCGTGTGAAGAAAATCCATAGGAAGTAGCTAAGTGAGGAAGAGTTGACTGAACTTGAAGGAAGGTCCTTGTCTGATTCGGATCTTCAAGAACGTTGGCAGAGGCAAAAGTCAGAAGCGAGGAAAACCTTACAAATTGGTAGAGAGCTGGGTATTCAGTTTAAAGGCTCAGAGGAGGCGTTGGTTAAGGAAATTGCAGCTGGGGATGATCTTGAAGGAGAGTCCCAATCCCTGTCCATTGATTTCTAGAAGGCAGCAGAAGGGGAGTCTCCAAGATGAGAATTATGTCTTGGAATATAAGAGGTATGGGTTCTAATGTGAAGATCTCAGATCTTAGAAAGTTTATTCGGATTTATAGAATTGAGATGGTATTGTTACAAGAGACTAAGAAGGAGGATTTAAAGGATACTGAAATTAGTAGTTTTTGGTGTAATGATGATTTTGATTTTAGATTCTCGAAAGCAATGGGAAAATCTGGGGGTATTCTGTCTGTCTGGGATAAAAGTAGATTTCAGATCTTGGATAGCTTAATTACAGATAGATTTATTTTGATAGAAGGGGAGTATGCTCCGCATGATTTGTCATTTTCTGTTATGAATGTTTGTGCTCCTTGTGAAGTATCTGAACAAGTCATAGTTTGGAGTGCAATTGTGGAAGTTAGGAGGAAAAATAAGAATAGATGGTTCATGGTAGGTGATTTCAATGCAATAAGAAGTAACAGCGAGAGAAGCGGGTGTTCTTACAGACAAACGGAGATTGTAGAGTTCAATTCGTTCATAGAGGCTTGTAATCTATTCGACATGCCTTTATCGGGGAGAAAATTTACGTGGTTTGGACCGGGAAATAGAAAGAGTCGTTTAGATAGAATTTTTGTGGAGGTGAATGGTTTAATGAAAATAGTGATGTAACTCTTTTTGGTCTTCCGAGAACAGTTTCAGATCATATTCCTATATTATTAGGGAATGAAGTGGTGGATTGGGGACCTAGACCGTTTAAACTGATTAATTATTGGTTAAATCAGGAGAGTTGTATTGAGATTATTAAGAAAACATTGCAGCACGAAAAAGAAGGTGATGTAGATTTAAATGTGAAATTAAGAAGGGTGAAAGGAGCACTTCAGAAATGGAATTTACAGAACTACTGGAATGTTGATATGGAAGCAAAAAGATTGGAGAAGAGGATTAATGAGTTAGATATGAAGAGTGATGCTGATGGTTTAGATGTCAGAGAAAGAGAGGAACAACTGAGCTGCACAAGGAGGTTATGGGATATATTGAAGGAAAAGGAGGATATATGGCGCCAGAAATCAAGATCAAACTGGCTGAAACTGGGAGATGAAAACACCGCTTTTTTTCATAGAGCAGTTAAGATTCAGAGTAAAAAGCGATTGATATTGGGAACTAATTTGGGAGAGGTCGATGATGTTGAGCCGGACAAACTTAGAGCTAAGGTTTTCAATTTCTTTAGCAACCATTTTAGACGCAAGGAAAAGAAGGGGAAGACGGAGATCAATTTTCCGTTCAAACAACTATCAAGGGCGGATGCAGAAGGGCTGGAAGTGATTTTTTCCATTGAAGAAGTAAAGGATCCTGTGTGGAGTTGTGGGGAGGACAAAGCTCCGGGTCTGGATGGTTTCAATATAGTCTTTTTTAAGAAAGCATGGGAGTGGGTAAAAGAAGATTTGATGAAGACCATGGATAAGTTTTATAGGAATGGAAAATTGGGTAAGAATGTCAATTCATCTTTTTTAGCATTGATTCCAAAGGTGGCTAATCCGACTGAAATTTCGGAATATAGACCGATCTCGTTGGTGAGCAGCTTGTACAAAATAATTGCTAAAGTGTTAGCAAGGAGATTAAGAGGTGTGATTGGAAAAGTGATTAGTGAGACACAATGTGCATTTATAGCAGTAAGACAGATTTTCGATGGAATCTTAGTGGCAAATGAAGTCATTCATTCTTTGAATATAGAGAGTGGAGGGAGAGGTGGATTGATTTTAAAACTAGATTTTGCAAAGGCGTATGATTGTGTTTATTGGGAGTTTTTAGACTCTGTTCAGTACAATATGGGTTTTGGAAGCACTCGGAGATGCTGGATTTGGGAATGTATTTCGACAGTTAGAGTTTCTGTTCTTCTAAACGGGTCTCCTACAAAAGAATTTAAAATGTACAGAGGTTTACGGTAGGGTGATCCATTGTCCCCCTTTTTGTTCATAATGATAACGGAGGCTCTTCATCTTTTGTTAGAAGGAGCTGTTCGCAAAGGATTCATTGAAGGTATTGAAAATGTGGCACCAAACATAAGTATTTCTCATTTGCAATTCGCGGACGATACGATAATGTTCATTCGTCCAGATCAAAGAAGTATGGTCAATGTTAAGAGAATCTTGAGATGCTTTGAATTGGGTTCGGGTTTAAGCATTAATTTTAGAAAGTCGTGCTTAGCAGGGGTGAAGGTGGAAGAAGCTAGATTAAAATAACTAGCTAGTTTGGGTGGTTGTTCTGTGTATGCATTACCGTTTAAATATTTGGGAATTCCGTTAGGTGCAGATCCTAGAAGAATTTCGACTTGGGAACCTGTTATTGAAAAGTTTAAAGCTAAATTGGTGGGCTGGAAAAGCAGGACGTTATCTTTTGCTGGGCGAGTGGTTCTTATTAATTCAGTGTTGTCAATGTTGCCGTTGTATTATATGTCGATTTTCCTTATTCCAAAAGCGGTTATATCAAAAATTGATAAGATTAGAAGAGGTTTTTTGTGGGGTTGTGATGGAAACAAAAATAGATTGCCAAGGGTGAGTTGGGGTAGATTGTGCTGTCCGAAAAAGAAAGGTGGGGCTGGAATAATCAATCTAAAGGCAAAGAATATGGCGTTGCTTGCTAAGTGGGGTTGGAGATTTGCAACGGAAAGAGGGGCATTTTGGAGGTCTATAATCAGTCACAAATATGGCTCAGGTGATCTGCCTTGGTTGGTTAGTCTTGAAGATATCAAGAAAGCTTCGATAACATGGAGAGGGATCGTGAAAAACTTGTCTAGTGAAAGTACAGCTAAATGGATGAGTGGGAAATCTTTTAGGTGGGTAGTGGGTGATGGGAAATCAGTTTTATTTTGGGAGGATGTGTGGCTTGGGGAAAGTCCTTTAAGATCAAGATATCCTCGTATCTACAGGCTAGCATTGAGGAAATATATTACGGTGCGTGACATGATTTCTGCAGGTGAATGGAAAAACTTAGATTTAACAGCTTTGTTTCAGCGTCAATTGCTTGACAGGGAATTCAATACTGTTCGAATTATAAAACGCGAAGTGGACGATGTGAGTTTAAATTCATTTTTGGCTGATCGGATTATATGGGTGCATGAGACTGATGGTTTATTTAAGGTTAAGAAATTGACAGATTTGCTCCTCAGTGACGAGTATTTTGAAGATGTATGTTTGTTTAACTTTGATAGAATATGGAGCCTTAAAGTCCCTCCGAAGGTGAAATATTTTCTATGGATGCTTAAATTGAATAGAGTTCCAACTAAGGTATTCCTCTTTAACAAAGGAATTAAGTTGTCCGATGCTCAACGATTGTGCCCATGGTGTGGAGATGTTGAAGAGGATACAAATCATTTGTTTGTGTCTTGTATTTTTATGGCTTGTTTTTGGAATGCTTTCTGCAGGTGGTGGCATATTCCAGGCTTTAATTTGCAGTCAGTGGATAAAATATTTGAGTTTTGTTTTCAGTTTAGGTGGACAGAATCTACAGCTTTGGCTTGGTTTGTAAGCTTTGCAGCGGCGTTATGGAGCCTATGGTTGGCTAGGAATGATGTAGTTTTTAAGAGTAAAAGTACGAATCTCAAAGATCTGCTAGTATATGTGAAGATGAGGGCTTATGCTTGGTGTAAGGCGTTGAAGGTTTTTAGTGTGTTAGATTAGAAACGTTGGTGGGATTGGCCAGGGGAGTCAGCGGGTCTATGTATACAACAACGTCCAAAGTCTGTGTGGAAGCCGCCAGTGTCAGGTCAGATGAAGTTTAATGTGGATGGCTCAGCAACGAACAAGTTAGCAGGGTGTGGGGGAATCTTGAGGACTGCAGAAGGTTATGTAGTAGCAATGTTTTTTGGGCCGGTAACAGAGATTAATTCAGATTTTGCGGAGCTTATAGCTATCAAAATTGCATTAGACGTGTTTGTTGAATCTTGTTGGTGTGGGAAGACTGGTTTGATTGTTGAATCTGATTCTAAGGTAGTACTGAACTAGATACAAAATGCTTTAGCTCGACCATGGAGGTGGGGGGTAATTTTTCAGGGAATTGATGTGGATGCAATGAAGATAACTGAGATAAAGTTTGCTTTCTCGCCTAGGAGTACTAATAATATGGCA